TGCATTTCTGTTGTATGTCAGTTCGTAGCTTATTCAAAATTAAGGTAAAACCTTTTTAATAGAAACATGTAATTTAAATAGTTCTTGTGAAAAGGGAGAACGTCAATAAATGTTTTTTTTTGTTAATTTTTGGAATTTCTTTTAAGGTTTAAGTACTGGCTTTAATATTATTATTATATATTAATTTATAATAAATTCCCATATCATGAAAGTTTTATCTTCAATTAATTATTAAAGTTAGAATACAATATCTTAAGATTTCGAATACTTCCAGATTGAATTTTATAAAAAGATAAATTTATGTAACACGGACGCTCTTCTAGTTAAATGAGCAGCCCGCGGTAAAAGGATGGTGTTATGCGTAAGTGATGCAGCACGAAATTAAAATTTCATCAATATTATTACCGATTATCAACAAATAACATCGATCATTAGCGATCAGCGATAGTCAAAGAACAAATAAACTTTAATTTTCAAAATGCGTAGCAAAAGCCCTTTTATTAAATCCAATCAAAATTCCGTAAAAGCATACCGCCCATAAATTCCTGGCACGGCATTGCCGTCGATAGAATGTAATACAAAATCCGCCGAAATCCGCCATTTTGATGTACGGATTTTTTCACCCTCCACCCCACCTTCCTACATAATTGAGCGTTGTGAAAACTATCACATTGGTAAATGACGTCCCCCCCGCGCGGACCCCGCGTTGACCCCCCGCCGCCCGTAGTTTTCCGACATGGCCGCAATCAATAATTTGGCTGGGCAATGACTGCGATGATTCGGACATGCGCAGCACCGTCCACCCGCCGAATCATCGGCAAAACCTGAACTTGACTTGGCGAAAACGAAAGTTAGAGGCGAATGTTTCTACTCCATTCTTGGCATTGGCTACTACATACCCACAATGTATCGAGCACCATGTGCCCACACGTAATAAAAGTAAACATACTGCACATTTTTATTGCGTCGTCATCGGTCACGCCTACGAAATTTGCTAAGGAAGACAAAACCGTATTATCTTGAACTCTATCTATACCATGCACTATCTTGACAACATTTTGCATATGATTTTAGCATTTACATATCTGAAATCCTCAAAATTGTTAAAGAAAATTTTGCTGGAGTTACATCAGATTCAGAAAGTTGTATAAGTGCGAGCGAGATGACAGTATATTCAAATATATATGTATAGAACTAACCTAACATGACTGTAAAAGGAAATTTGCAAACGATTATAAGTATTCTGAATTGTTAATGAATTTTCTTACCTGATTTATGTTTGTTGGGGAAGAAGTCGTTTCTTCCTTGTGTTCTTGTGCTGTCGTTTCTTCTTTCTCTTGATCTCCAGTTCTAGAACTTTCTGTGTCTGAGTCGTGGTTTTCTTATTGTCTTTGTATTGTTTGTCTAGCCCTTTCGTTTTAAGCCCGTTCGATTTAATTCTAGTTAAATCGTTTCGAAGTATGAATAACAAAAGAACATTTAACTAAGTCTTAACGTTAATTTATTTTTAATTTTGTACTATTAAAGAAATCGAGAAGTCGTTTCAACAGGTAGGTAAAATTGATAATTTAGTTATTTTTTTTATCTTTTTTTTTTGAATAATTTTATCTTACCTTTTTAATATTAATTTAAGGCCAATTTAAGGCACGAGTTTTTGTGTATTTCTTTTAGTTTTATTTTCTTCTGCCATACAATCAGAACTGGTAGAGGAAATTGGTCGAAACTTTTCCAAAACTTACTTGCCAAAAGTCTCAAATATCGCTTAGCCTTAACGTTTAGTCCAGAGTATTTCACTAAATTACTTTCACTAGATAAATATGGAGAGTCTGTATATAAAACTCAATATAAATCAATCGAAAAGTTCCAAAAATAACCAGTGTTGTTTAAATGTACTTAAAAAACTCAAATTCTTAAATTCTCTTTTCTATTGATTCCTGATAATAACGGTTGATATAAACATAAAACTTGTTCTATTGCGAAAAAACGTGTTTCTTTATCGTCAAATGGCGCTGATAGTTATTTGTTTTTCGCTAGATTCCCTTTGCTATGAAATCTTGGCTTTCTTTAACTTCTTGCGCATTTAATTTAACATCGTTTGCTTCTATAAATCCATGGCCTTCGGCGTGGTCTTCCCATGGATTTTTTTCTTTTCCTTGGTCTTCTTATTCTTCGGCAGCTTCTCCCGGATGGTCGAAGATGTTGATTTAGCCCTGACACGACGGATCCGAGTCAAGCCGCCGTTGTTGCCTTACACTAGCTTATAGTTCAGAAAATTAAATCGGTGATGTTTGGTCTATTGAGAGTTCAAGTGTTGCTGAATAGTATTGTTAATATAAATCGTCACTTAAATACTACAATGATTATGTGGAAAAACTGAATAAAGTCTATTGCATAAAACTATCTTTTGAGTGTCAGCGGGCGGCAGTTGAAAATCCTAAACGCATGCGCGGTTTTTTTAATTTTCGAAATTTTGATAACCAAAAATGGTCTATGAATTTCTTTTTTATTTTTTTTATTTTTAATTTTGAATTTTAGGCCGTTTTAAATTGTTTATAGGATTTTTGATGGAAGTTATTTTTAGTTTAAAAAAAACCCGCGTTCAGGTTTTTTAACGCGATGCGTAGGTGTTAAACACGCGTCGGTTTCAGGCTCGCCGGCCACACTGATGGCGGAAGGTTGCATTGCTGCTGCATCGGGTTGATCTACCCGTAGGCTGCAATGGTGTGAGGTCACCCCCTCGCCACCCCTGCCACCTACCCCATCCCAATGATTCGCGTGCACCTCGGAATCATCAAATAATGATTTTGTATGTTTATTATAAAACTTACTATACGCTCCGCAGCCTATACGTTCCGGGACGCATCGCCGGATAAATTCAATTTCGAAAATTACAAATATTCGTGTGTGCGTGTCGGTTAGAATAAACTATTTGGTTATTACAGAATTCATTTGGAGCGTTATAAATTAGAATGGATATAGAAATTTAGGCATAACATTATGCGCATACCCTATCTCTATGTGCTTTGGTTTCATTACATAAATGCATGCCTGATTAACTAAGGCTTTCTAGATATTATTAAATATTTGTATTAGCATTGGGATGTTTATTTGTAATTAGCGTTGATAGATGAGTTACTTCCGACTCACGGTTAGTTAACAAAACAGCACTTATGTACTTATCCAGATTCTCTAGATTTAGTATTCGTACATTTGAACTCGATTTGTAAGCTTTGTGAAAAGCAGTGTCTTAAACAAACTCATATATAAACAATAGTTTTTTTTGTTTCAATACTTATAAAATAATTTGTACGGTTACAATTATAACATTTTTTTTAAATTAAATTCGTCGTTTATTAACCGATAGTTATAAGCAAATCACTTCATCAACAGAACAACTACTTCAGACAATAAGTTTAAAAAGAGTGTAACCAAAAAAGTGCGTAGTATCAATGGTTGCACGCGATGTACAATCGCACACAAAGTGCTTCACGATCATAAATAAATTTAAAAATAACAATTCCCCACCCGACGCACTAAGTCCAGCTTGCATTAAAATATGATACGCCATGCAGCGGCGCGATGCCAGTCCATTTCTATATTATCGAGTAATCCACGCGATTAAGGGAGCGTTCGCAAATTCTATGTGTCATTATGAGCACTCGGCTCAAACGGTACAGTCGTGCACAAACTTACGACCTTAACCATAGCATAGATGAGATATGAGGATGTTACCACGAGATTCTACTGCCGCTTTGACTCTTGTATTTCAAATATTGTCTCTGTTTCTTCCAAGACGATGAAAGGGATGCCAATATGATTTTACAGAATTAGGTAAACGAATCCTACTGTATAATGACATTTGACAAGAGTTGAGAAAGATGAGAGTTCTAAATTTGAATATGGAAGGATACGTCAGCATAACATATATGCTTAAACAAGGAATAACGACAAAAATGGTAATGTGGTAGATGAAGAACTGTTGTGCTGACTCTACAATAATTAAATCAAAAGCAATTAGATGGTGATTTTTTTTATTCTACTATTTATGTATCGTATGAAACACTAATATATAAAGCTTAGTTTGATTTTAAACTATTAATTTTTGACACTGCATTTTACAGACGGTTTAAAAAATTTAAACTCAATAAATATTAAAACCCAAACAAAATTACTATGAAAATATGTAAATTATATTTCGTCATTAATTTAAGCAGTCAACGGGCGGATGAATTTTTAACACGTCTGTACCGAGCGTTGTTAAACCCTTTCGAAGTATAACACGATGCGTAAAAATATACTACGTATACGATCTCCATGGATATGCTTTCCAATGTATTTCCATCATTTTCGTTACATACGTACAATTTATTTACCAATATATACCTTTAGTATAAAAACGGTACATAGCCTTTTCTACGACAACAAGCAAGCAACTGACGAATGTATAGATTTTGATTTGTTTTTGTTCTATACTCTCTGCACAATATCTTACTAATATTATAAATGCGAATGTTTCGATGGATGGAATGTTTGTTAGAAGGTATCTCCAGAACAGTTGCATGGATCTCGCTGAAATTTGGCACAGATGTAGCGTGGAAGAACACATAGACTACTAATTAAGTTTTTGGACGGAGTTGCGGGCGACAGCTAGTAGAATATAAGAGATGCTCCTCCACACAGGTCGTTTATTTTTCTTTCATAATATTGCAGTATTCTTGGGTTTTTATAGGAAAAATTAGATATCGTTGAATGTAAATTTAAAATTTATTTTAAAGCAAAAACTTGTATAACTTTTCTTTATCCAATTAAATCGATAATATTTAGTAAAGCTGGTTTTTGGTTTATTAGTAGAACTCGATTCTCTTGCGTAAGCTGAACAACTGCGGTTCTTGTTAAAATGGTTGGTAATTTTGGTGGAAACATGATTTGAGATAGTTACTTTAAAAAAAAAGTTGTTATATTTTTTTTTAAAGTTCATTTTTTTGTAATTTTGTCATTTTTTAATCTTAATGTCTTCATTTGTTTTTCGAAATATAGTTTGACGTTGTCCCTTAATTGAATTATTAATACTAAAGTTATTTCGAAGCTTTTTTTTTTAAATTAAAAGAAGGTGAGAAGTCACTTCAATGTAAACATGTATTCGCTGTTAAGCTCTAATATGCAAGTCCTATGCGACAATTTCAAAGTTGTTACATTTTGCGTTTGAAAAATCTGCAAGTATATTCTACATTGACTCTTATTCAGATTTTTATAAGGTTCATTTTAATAATACGTTTACACGAATGATTGCAATTTTTCTTAAGCAGGCGTTGATGATGATTTTATTCTACCGTTTCACCCTACCACCAGACTTGCGTGCGGTCATAGATCAATAATAGCGGGCAATTCGTGGTAAAATCACTTGTATTAATCATCTCCATAGTCATTCCGGTGGGGTGGAATAGTCAAGCACTATTTAGTTGAATTGCCGTCTCCCTCACACAACTGCGCAGACTCGTCATCGTCATCAGCCACCCTACTCCTCCTTTGGGGTGTCGAAGGTGTTAGGGTTACCCCCCTACGTCAATATACGGCAAACACTGTAGATAAAATAAACGCACACATGCATAGCGTCGACGTTGTGTATACACACGCAATGCACTCAAACTTGCACGATCCGCGGACTCACACACGCCGTTTTATACAAAATTGAAGCCAGATAATTACATTAACAAGGCGTATACATAGGCGTGTTTTATGTATATTAAATACTCTATAATGGTAGGGCAGTGTACTTTCGTATATCGGAGAGGGAGTTACGAAGGGGGGGCTTTGGTAAAATGGGAAATATTTTCCGGGGATTTTTGCATTCGAATATTTCATGGCGGAATACCGATACGCAGTTTCGACTGTCTGTCACCCATTCGGCTGGAGTGCTCTCTTTTAACGATATTGCGTTAGTGTTTTCACATTGTATCCCCAATATGCGGAAACTTATCTGCACTCTATCCATTTTGTTAAATGAAAAGGGCGAATTGCATGTAATGTTTTTTTGGATTGAAACTGCCTTTTAGTAATTGGTCGCATAGTGTTAATTGAGCTCTTAACAGCCATTATGCGTCGATTGCGACAACTCCAAGAATCTTTCCCATAAACCACGATTCATCAGTAGCGAATAAAATATGAGGCAAAATTGCCTGAGAGTTAACCGTGCCAAATAGCGATCCATGATTTCTGCCTACCTCTCTGCGTTACAAGCGTGAGTTGTTGTTTGATTGAGAACGAAATGAAACCTTCACTGTATTTGAACTACATCGTCTAAACATATCGTGGACAGTATCGCTATTAATACTGTTCAATTAATATAATAATAATTAAAAAATAGTAATATTTTTTACGGTCTACATAGTCTATTCTAGCCTTTCTTCAATATTTTCATTAATTTTACACCGAAACATATCTCTGTATCCACGACATAATTTGAGCATCAGACACGTTGGTATACACGCCTGGTACATTCCGACCACAGCCGTAGCCGAAAGACGACAAGCCGACGAGCTTGCCGAATGACACCGCTGCACCGCCGCTGTCGCCCTAGTACAAATAAATATAATAGTATACTCATGATTAATCTAGAAGGGTCTTGCAAACCTTTTGCGTTGCTTACATGCATTCAATAATAGTCAGTAACTCTTTAAAAACCTTTTTACAAGCTTCTACTTACTTTTACAAGCCCCGAAATTTGTGATATGATGATGGAGCTGGAACGTGGCTGGAACTTCCCAATTAAACGACAAAACCTGATTTGGGTTCCTTTTTCGAAATTTTTAGTTCTTTTGATAACAAGAATATTTAAAAAAATCTTTTTTTTAGAATGTCATGTAGTTGATTTGTTTTGTCACTATATTTTTAACACGTTTTGAACAAATATCAAAATCTTTATTAGAATTCTACAAACTGAAGTACATCGATTATAATCCATCTGTGTATTTTTATCTAATACTGAACTCTACTCTTATTGAAATAAGATCTGCTAACTTAAATCATTCAGTGTAACCAGTCTTACCTGACACGCGTCCCCATCTTCTCCGCCTGCACAAAACATTCTGGTCGTAAGAGTGTTATTGTACCAGAATTCTTTGATCTGTTGACACTCATCGATTGGGATAATCGGTACTCTTACTTGTTGAAGTATGTCTTTGTAGTCACCCTAGAGATAGATTTACAAAATCACGAAAATTTAGATATTCATGTGTTTTTTTGGTCAATATGTGTATGTTATTTAATATTATGGAACACCTTAGTGCGTTTTTCGACTAAAGTTCAAAGACCAAATATAATACAAAGTAAATTCGATGATTACTCTACAAAGAATCGTATCCCACAATTTTGTTATTTCCATATTTCTTTTTTTTATATCATAAGGTGGCAAACGAGCAAGCGGCCAAATGACATCGCTGAAATAGCGAAGTGACCGTTGTCCATAGACATACGCAATTACATATCCGTTGCCTACCTTTAATCGACGGAGGAGAGGATGCACAGAAAGAAAATATTTTCCCTTCCCATGCATCCTCTCATCCGGAAAGTCCACTTCCACTTCCCATCCTTTCCTTATAAGAAAAAGGGTGGGAAGGGAAAGAGGACTAAATTAGGCCTCCGGGACGCACACTCATCAGACGAAACGCGGAATTGCTTCAACTTCACGCCTGTCTTCTGTGTGGTCGTGGTATTTCACCGGGCGAGCCGGGCCAATTCGTGCTAAGATGTTAAAGCGGGCTCTACCACTGTCAAAATATGCTTATTATTTCATTTATAAAATTATATTTATGAATACTAAGCTATGATAATTTGAAGGTTTTTTTTAAATTTTATAATACTGCATAATACTTGTTAATATTATAAATGAGAAAGTTTGAATTTACGGACGGAGGGGTGATGAAAGTCACGTATAGCCCACTCATTCTTAAAGGACGCATAAGATACAATGATCATTTCTTTTAATTTCACGCGAGTAAGTCGCTGGCAAAGGCATAAACATTATATACATAGGACTTCAGTATGTTTATTTACTTACTCTTTCTACAGGATAACCCCATCCAGTCACAGCAATATTGTCCCCACATTCGTTACTGATCTGAATGTTTGATATTCTTTGACTAAAGTGCAGCTTTCTTTGCAATTTTAATAACTGTACATCAAAATCGAAGATATGTTCATATCCATACTTTGGATGTATAAAGTGACGTTTGATGACGACCTTTGGACCAACAAGTCTATGCTTACTGCCGACTCTGATGTACGATTTATCCGTTCTAAAAGTTGAATATATTTATAACAATAACCTTATTATAAAAGTCTTCTAGACTTCAGAAATCTTTAGATGTATGGATGGATGTTTTTTAGAAGGTATGTCCAGAACTGTTCATCGAATCTTGATAAAATTTGACATGGATGTAGAACATGGTCTTGAAGTACACATAGGCTACTAATTAAGTTTTTTTTAAATTTCGTGTTGACTTGATTTTATTTTTGTTAACTAAATTACTAAATATAAAACTACGTTCGGATTCCGATCTAAAAAATTAATATGTACCAATGCTTTTTTGCTAAGGCTATATTTTGAAGAGTTTAATAAGATTTCGACCATCCGATAAAATTAGTTTTTTAATCTTTTGAAACCTATCACTGTTTTGTATTTATATTCTAACCAAGTATTAGTAACACGAGAATAAGTGCTATTGAGGTGTTCGCATGATATCCAAACTACGCAATACTACTAAAAGTTTCAAGCCTTAAGATAAAATGTTCAAGACTTTCTCTAACAAAGTAGAACGCAATTAAAATTGCAAAATTTGTGCGCCTAGTACAAAGATAAAATAAGTAAATCTAACACAATTAGATAATAAAATCGCAATTCTCTTGAGTTTACACTCAAAGTCGTATCACGGTTAATGTAATATTCGCTTAGTGTAAATCTACGCTAAAGGATTTCCTTAGGAGCGAGACTTTGAGTGCAACTGTTAAACTTGATTAAAGCTTTTATCATTGTTTGTACCAATTATCGTTTGGAGTTTTGAACTCAGATTTAAGTATAGAATAGACTAAGGATATACAATTACATTTTAATGTTATTTTTATATTAAAACAAAGAGTCAGGTTAACTAAAAAAAAATGTTTTAGTCTTTATCATGTATTGACGAACATTTTGTTCTATCACCGGCGACTCTGTCCGCGCGCAATTAATAAAAACTTAATAAGTAGCCTATGTGTTCTTCCAGGCTATGTTCTACATCTGTGCAAAATTTCATCAAGATCCATTGAGCCGTCCATCTAAACTTTTGCATTTACAAAATTGTTGAGATTGGAAATTTTCAAATTACCCGCAATGTGCTGTAGTCAATGCCCACAGTTGATGGAGCAGCACACCTCCACACACATCTCCGTAGTTCACTTGATATGGTGCCACGTCTATACTGATGTCATGTCCTTTGTATATTCTAAAATCAAATTATTTTATAACTTACTTGCTAAAAGTAAATAATTCTTGTTAGCGAGTGATTTTAAACCTGAAATCGCCGAATAGGCGAAGCGACCGCTGCCTATAGACAGTTGCAGATGCATTGCTTATCTTTAATCGACGGAGGAGGAGACGCAGAGAAAGGGAATATTTTGCCTTACCATGATCCACTTTTCTTCCCTTCCTTTCCTTATAATGTAAGCATGGGAAGAGAAAGAGAGAAATCCCAAACGTACCACGTACCACTTCCCAAAAGAATAAGAAAATTATACAAGAGTTTACATCAAAAAAGCCAATAACAATATAATAATTTGTATAGGTTACTTTCTTATAATAGTTAAGATTAAAAAAAAACTTATAACACGACCTTTATTCCATGAAAGTATTATTATACCCAAAAACAGTAAAGGAACTCACCCTTGTGTAAAATAAAACTCTGACCAAATCACAATCTCGAATAGAAAATAGTGGTGTAAAATCATATTCCGTCATTTGGATTTTTAATTAAATGTTTTCAATTATAATGTTTCATAATCCTAAATTATTTCTTAAAATTTAAGATCTAATAAAAGCTGACATTCGCTTACAGTTTAAACAAACTCACAGGTTAAGCAAAACCCCTGTTATCCCTAAAGTTATTTTAAGACGAAGATGTTTAGGAAAAGAGAATTTTTTGTCTGTGGCCACGCAAAATACAGTAATAATTTTTATGTAATATTAAATTTTACTAGGGGGTCCATATCTATTTCATAGTAATTACTTTCTTTGCTTTAGTTCCTAAATGAATACTCTTTTATATTCATTTTTCCTTGTACAAAATAATAAGTAAGATCTAAAGAGTCCACGACAACTGTAAAAATACGAATAAATACAAGGTAACTTGGCCTAGTTTAGTTAAAATACATTTAAAAACATGTTTTTAAAAATCAAACAATATTCCAAAAGTATTCTTTATTACGTGTTAATCGAGCCTTAATCCGGTGACGTCTTCGATCCAGGATCTAACTTTAGCCACCTTACTGTAAACCCCGTAAGATCCTGGAGTTGCACAGCCATAGCCGAACGATACCATACCTAGGAGCCTTTCATTGGACACCGCTGGTCCTCCTGAGTCACCCTGAAATTAAGACGAAAATGAATAGTCATGTTTGTGGTCTTAGTTGTTCCTTGGATTTGTTTAAATTACTAATACGTTAAGAAAAGATGTATGGATTGAACGGTTACTCGCTCGTTCTAAAAGGGACGACTGAAATTACGTAGGAGAGGTCAGATCAGACTTATAGATCAGATATATATAAGATTTTTTTTTAAATATTAGCAGAGTTTTTTGTAAATTTACTAATATTTCTTTTACCATTCCAACTAAGGTCTAGGCTTGTGCTAGGATATGGTTAACGACAATAGTCGAATGGCGGGACTCGAACCCCCGACCTCGTGATCGGAAATACGTACCCTTAACCATTAGGCTATTGACGCTTTTAGAAGATGGTAATATTAAAGTAGTATCTTAATGTAGTCTATGGCCCTAATTATTACTGAGCAAGCAAAAATAGTTAGGCCATAGTGTCGAAGGTACCAACCGCATTGGTCTAGTATCAAGACGATCTTTTGAGAGATAAGAAATCCATGTTACCTTCTTAAAGGTTCATTTACCTGACAAGCATCCATCTTCCCTTCGGGGAAACCTGCACAAAACATTCTTGGTGTGAGAGTGCCTCGGAAATACGGGTACGGTACGTTTTGGCATTGCTCTTTGGAAATTATCGGCACTCGCACCGCTTGCAAAGTAGGTGCATATGGCCCCTGGAAAAAAAACATAAGAACCTTAAAATATTAGAGCCACTTTAGAAATATACGGTGCTAAAATAAAAATTAAAAAAAAATGCTATCGACTTTCGATGTCAGTTCATTGAATCTTTGAAGTAACCTTTGTAATATAAAGATTTAATTTGTAATTTAATTAATTATAATCAAGGCTGTAGGCACGAGGACCACTGTGACGTCACAGGTCCGTCATAACTTAGAACAGGCTTAGTTTAAGATGCTTGTATCAACGTAAGTTAGTCGGAGCCTTGTCTGCTATTCTACAAGATTTATTGCGGACAGTGAAGTATGGATACATACAGTGTTAAGGGAGACTTGAACGTTATAGATAAAGAACATCACGCCTTTGATATTATGGGGTAGGTAGGGTCATCTATCTCTATAAATATAAGTCAATATTATGTATGTTTGTCAATTCTACTAGACAGATTGTGATGAAAGTTTGATACGTTGTTCTTAAGGTGACAGTTTTTTTTTTGCTTTGTTGGTAAAATTTAAAATCAATCAATCGGATCAATCGGTGGTTTAAATTGTTATATTAGTTGATTATTTACATTTGTGATAAATAATGGTAATAGTGTTGAACGTAGAATTACGTATTCGATCACTTTGTTGGACATTGGTTAAATATTCTGCCAAATACGTGGCATACTGGCCACTAAGACCTTTGCCTTTTTGAATGAGAAAAAAGATGAAAAATAAAAGAAGTCGCAGAGTTGTTGGAGATGTTTGTAGTTGTTAATAAAGTTGGAGGATATCATTATTGTGATTATGCAAATAGTTTTAATATAAGTGTTTTTAGCGACGTAATAAACGCATTTTGGCTGCCAGGATGAAGAAAGTATAGACAAAGTATAGTGAAAGTAGGAGACAAAGAAGTTAGTCCACACCCTGTGTAGGGTAAATGGTAGGAAGTACTATGACTCTATAAAATAAACATAGTGTACACTTTATTGCATTTCCATTTGAAATGAAATTCGCAGCCGTCACATTTGTGAATGTGTCGCGGTTGAAAGCCGAACAACGATTGCTATCTCTTTGTGCTAAATCGAGATCGATAGAGATTGGGATCTCTGTGTATTGCCATCGGTTATTCCAATCAGAATAACCGATGTGAGGCTTTTTAATGTACCGAGTATATTGTGATAAGTGATTAAAATACTATATGACTAGATATGTTTGTTAGGTGACGGATTCATCCTAAAATTGGAAATAGAAATGTGGTAAAATTAATCCTACTAATATTATAAATGCAAATGTTTGGCTGTATGGATGAATGGCTGTCGCCCCCGGCCGCGCAACATTAAAAAAATCTTAATAAGTATCCTATGTGTTCTTACAGATATATTCTATATCTATACCAAATTTAATTGAAATCAGTTGAGAAGTTTTGCGGATACCTTCTAATATTCTTCCATCAATCCATCCATACATCCAAACATTCACATTTATAACATTAATAAGTAAGATTGTCAATGAAAGATTCAATTCTCATTATTTTCTTGATTAGTTTAAAAAAAAAACTAAAAAACTTGCGCACGCATCTCCGCGCGAAATCGCCTTTATACATCTTCATTACTTCACCTTGCTATTAAATTCTGTTTTCAAATACTACATTGTTAAATTTAGTGGTAAACATCATCATCATCAGCTCACTAAACGTCCCCACCGAGGGGCTCGGAGCCTAAGTTAAGGGTGATTAGGCCACGCTGGCCCAGTGCAGGTTGGTGGACTTCACACATATCTTTGAAAAACACATTGGTAAAAGACGGGGTTCGAACCCAGGACCTGCAGATTGCAAGTCAAGTGCTTGACCCCTGAGCCACCGACGCGTTAGTGGTAAACATGCGACTTGAAATAAAGAGGTAATAGATGTTGTGTAAAAAGTGACTATCGATTACTATATATCGTGATAGATGCAAGTAAGAAGCTATTTTAGCAATTTCACACATAATGTCACGCTCTCTATAATATCTGTGCAGAGAATTTATATCTCTTACAATTTATAATATTTCTTGCTTGTCATTGAAGCGTTATCATACGAGATGTGATACCCTAGTACATAATACTATAAGAAAGAACTTATAAAATTCTGAGACTTCTTATCTTCTCTCCACGTGTATCAATACATCAACCTGCCCTTATCCCTACGGAGGGTCGGCAAAGTATGTACTCCTCCATACATCTCTATCAGCCGTCATATCTGAATTCAACCTCTTCTTACGCATATCCTCTTTCAAATAATCTATCTATACTTTCTTTGGTCTTCCTCTATCTTTGTCCATCCATATTTTTATAACATGTCTTAACACGTTAAACTGCTGCTTTTCAATTTCTAGTATACTTCTACTTTCAAACTTCTTCTAATAAAAACAATATATCAAACGTGCTAAAAACGAAGACTAGAGTGAATTCATACTTACATTCTCTTCAGTGTTTCCCCACCCTGATACTGCAACCAGTTTCCCAACCACCATATCATCGATCCGTCCAATTTTAATAGGTTGAACGTTTTCATCAAATTTTAAGGGTTCATCCAACTCTAAGATTTGGAAGTCGTAATCGAAGGGATGGTCCTTGTTCTTGGCCGACCAAAGAGGATGTATGAAGTTGTGCTTCACTTGTACCTTTCTACCCTTATTCAGGTATTTAGACCCGACTCTTATATAGGACTTGATTCTGTGGAATTATTTCTTAGTATTAAGAACAATTTTTGATGGGATACAGAATTAAATTTATCTTTGTATGTAAGAGAAATTTTTTAATGGAGAAATAATTCTGAAAAATTACTAGTGCGTCACATCTGCTTAAAGATTTAAAGTCTGATTAAAGAAACACTTAGAAGAAAAGACCATCTTTAATAAACAATAAATAGATTATAATAAAAAAGAAGCTTAAATGCAAATATTTTAAATGTTAGATGAAACAAAGAGAACGTTGATTTAAAATAATTGTATTACTTAGCCACATCCTTGTAGACATATTGTTCTTTTAAGGTGGAGCGAGATGATGTTACCGTAAAAATGTTGCCAACCAATTGGCATAGAACCTTACCCGCAATGTCCCGCTGTGATCACCCATTTCTTGTCTATGATTGCTCCACCACAATTAGTACCGTAAGCTGCATGGTAAGGATATAAATCTATATCTACTTCTGCTCCACCGACAATTTTATCATCACCGTAACTCATAGCCATATCATAGTCTGGTTTAGCCCCATCTCTGTTTCCACTGAATTCAATATTGTCGATATCTGGTACGTCTGTTGGCTCATGGTAATCTTCTACATCTAACTTGAAGAAATCTTCCCCATTCCTATAAAGTTCTTTTCTGTTTTTATTCCGTGGACGTCTGACTGCATTGTAATTTAGTTTCTTTAATTTGCTTGTCACTTTTGGTATTGGTATTACTAGGAGATCATATTCTGAAAAGCAATGCTCAATTTGAAGATTTCGTTTATGTTGGACCGGGTAATAAAGTTTGAGTAAAAATTAATTCTTCTAATCTTCAATTAGTTTGATATCTATTCGCTTATTTTCTTTTGCAGCATTAAAAGTAATTAATAGGAACTGCATGTTATTTGCAACGTATCATTAGTTATTTTCTAATATTTTTTTTTAATTTTTGTCTGAAATTCTATCATATTTTTGTGCTAAGCTCTAGCATTGTACTAGGATATATATAGTTAAATATTATAATATTAAATACACATTTCACTTAAGGACTTGTCTATTGAGAGTTTTTAAAGCGAAATAAAAAAAAATATTTGTTGAGTCACAATTAACAAAAGGACAATCTTACGTACGACTCGTTTCGACGGGTACTAAAGTACAAATTATTGATACAAATGCGAAATATAAATAATACATCATTAAAGTAACTATCTCACAACACGCATGACGTGGCACTAACAAACAAACAAACAGTAAGAGACTTTATAATTTTTTCAGCGTAATTTAATGGTTTGATGTAAAAGTTAATTTGTCGTGAAATTGCTAATTTATAATCTGTGCAGATTACAAACGAAGTATTCGATTTCAAAGTAATGTAAATAGAAATACATTTGAATCTATCTAGACTTTTCGTATCGAGATATTGTGGTTTTGTAAAGTTAATTGAATTTCTTTTGATTTTTAAATAACATGTTTTTGATCGTGTTATGTTTTAATAACTTTGATTAAGTTAATTTAGCCGTGATATGAACATGAGTGATTATTAAGCGTACAAATGTGTTACAACGTAATTAAGGAATACATATATTGAATTTTTCCTTTCTAAATATCCAGACATAGTCTTTAAACCTGTGACTATCACAGTGGTACTGAAGCAATTAGGAACTGACGAATTATAGGAAATTATAAGTTTTCAAAAATGGTGTGAAATAGTAACGAAATTTACCTCTATGTTTTGCCTGATTTTTAGTTAATATGACTACTGCTGCCCTCTGTGCGGTTTATTTAAAAACATGAATGTAAAATAGCGCCATCTATTATCATTCTATAAAGATTGACTTTTAAGTTTTAGTGTAATAATTGTTTTAGTTAAAAATTCTATTACTTTTTCCATAAATATTATAAACTTCATAATGCTATGTAGCTAATAGAATATGATTCAATTAGTTTTGAATGCGGAACTTTTTGTTGCGTTGCAATTTGTAAATTTCACCACGCCATCTGTTGTTGAATAGCTTAAGCTGAATATAATTAGGAGAATTTTATCACACTCACATGACACATTTCTGTAAACATAATGTTTATTATTATATTATTCATACATTATAACAATTGAAGTTATGCTACAAATTACAATAAGAATCTACGATAAGTAATTTTTTATCAATAAATAAAAAGCCCAATTAGTCTGCTCTTTATTAGAATTGTTCTCAAATATCTTAAAGTCCTTTATCTCCAACTTCACAGCTAGATGACAATTTCTCCAAAGCGTGGTTAACTATGGCCTAGTCACCCTTAACTTATAGAAAGAGCTCCTCGGTGGGGACTTGTAGAGAGCTGATGATGTTTTTTTCTTACAATGTCATATATTCTTTATTCTATAATTTAAAACCTTAAACCGTATTTACAAAGAGAGTAAACAAAAAATAGTTTCTTCATACATATTTATGAATATCACATTTATTATAATCAGAACTATTTATTATAACATCACTAATATTATAATCAGAATTTTTTTTAAATTTATAATGTCCGCTATACACTCTCTCTCTCTCTCTCTGCCTAGCTTGCATCCCAAAAAGTGGTGGGGTCTGCATTCCCAATCCGTCTCTTCCACCTCGGTTTGTCCATGATATTGTCTTCTGAAGCTTGTCCTGTATTACACAATTTTTTTGCAAATTTAATTTAATTTAATTTAAATTAGAAATTGTATAAAAGAGTGAAGTGCTATTTTAGAGATGTTATATAACAATTACATGATTATGTTTAAAAAAAATGTTTTTTCAGTAATATTTTGGTAAAAACTGATTTTGACACATAATCTACAGCGTTAATTGTTATTACAAAATTTAAGATTTCGTTTACCAAAAAAGCTTGTTACTTATTGCCACTAATTTTCTCAGTACTGTTCAATAGTTTTAGACATTACTAGCTGTCGCCTGCGACTCCGTCTGCGCGGGATTAAAAATAGGTATTGGCCGATGCTCAGACATACTCAATATGCTCACAAAATTTCATCAGAATCGGTCAAGCCGTTTCGGAGGAGTATGGGAACGAGAATTGTGACACGAGAATTTTATATATAAGATTAATTAGAATCCTTTGGCGCGAATGACGTGCTTACGTTACAAAGTCTAGTGTCAGAATAAATATGTAGGGACACAAACGTCGACATTTCAGTAAGGCCAGTGTTTGAATACACTGGCTCGTTTTCGGGTTTTTCCTAATAGCTAGCTTTTAGATTGTTTTAGATCGGAAATTTCTTGAGCAAAGTTTATTGTCTTTATCGCCTTTTACAATTCAAGCATTATTATATCTTTTATCCGCATCACTACTTACTTATTTCATAAGAAAAAAACAAAACTCTTTAAAAAAAACATTTATTAATAAGAATGTGTTTTAACACAGTTTCCACTAACAACAGAGTTTTTGTATAGGAAAATTTATTAAAAATAGGATACCTTGAAAAGTCGCATTCTTTGTTTCACCACCATTTCACCATTCAACTTTTTATATTTGAAAAATCAAGACTCTCCTGCTGTAAATAAAAAAATCAATAATCAAACTCTATATTTTGTTAAATTGTGTGGGTACTTTTAAATGTTACAACTATCAAAGGTAATTTTGATTAACACTGAAATCCAGTTTCGAACTCACATAAACCGTATACACTGAAATAAAAAACTAGATCCAATGAGCTACCATGATCTATAATGTTTATTCGACTCTATCCACAAGACAAAAACAAACATACAATTTTTGATATACTTATATTCAACCACAACAATAACCACCCCCCGCTCGCAAGTAAATAAGCCTTTGGGGGGATGAATACATAATGAAATTTCGCCCCTTGCCGTCCGTTAATCAAAAACTGCTGCAGAGCGCGCGGCGATGGAAAGACGTAAGAAAATGGAAATTTTCCTACCCTCCTTTTTCCTGTTAGTCTCACCCCCCTACTCGCCTCCGAGAGGTTGGACAACTCCCCCCCAAAGTGCTGTCTAACAGCAGAGAAGGCTTACGAGGTCAAACTTATTTATTTTAATATTACATTATGATGGTGATAAATACAAGTGAATGAATAATATCACAGCTTTACAGGTATCTCTCTACCAAATTTACTTCACGAGGACTTTTTTTCTTGATTTTGCTGTCCTTTTGTCATTCTTATACAAACGTCTCTTGCTTAATTACCTCATTTGAAAAATAATGTTGAATGTGCTTTAGACATTGTTCTTAGAAATTCTTTTAACTTGGATTAAGTTAAAATGATAGTAGAAAGATTTTAAGAAACTTGTATGTTAATGAAATTGTTTAAGAATCGTCCACTCAAATGTGAGATTCGTCGTTAAAAATTAATTGTTAATAATTTATAGAAGTCTACTCCATGGATGTGAGCCTCCCCCGAGCCTGCATTACCCGCCGCCAGCCGAATGCAAATTTTATAACGCGACGCCCGTTTTCTTATAGGCATTGTCGTAAACTCCGGCTCCGTACTTACTTAGCTTCGGTCATTTGTTCTGATTGTGCTCGTTTCAACGCCGTATACTAGGCTCAACTATAACACCCCCCACCCCTCACCCCCACAATCTCACTATAAACGTATTTAAGTAATAAGTAAACAAAAACTAATAAAAATGATAGGTTAAAGATAAGTTTTAATTAATATAAGTTTTTGGTAGGAGGGATAAAAGGTTAGGGGTTCTTCTCAAATCCTGCAACAAGAAAAATCTTACTAATATTACAAATGCTAATGTTTGGACGTTAGAGGTATCTCCAGAACGGCTGGATGGATCTTGCTGATATATAGCATAGATGTACAACATAGTCTGAAAGCACACGTAGGCTATTAATTAAGATTTTATTAATTCTGCGCCGATGGAGTCGCGGACGACAACTAGTCGTTAATTAAAAAAAATGAGTTGTGCACGTAACCAGATTAAAATTAAAAGCAAGTCAACCTATTATCTAATATAAGAATACTTAGGAATCTTGTTAGACTCTTTATTCCAATTAGACTGGATAAAAATTATGTTACAGTTTTTTTTTCTAAGTTCAATGTGGTGTAAACAATTTTTTTTATATCATAAGGAGGCAAACGAGCGAGTAGCCACCTGAAATCGCTGAAATAGGGAAGTGACCGTTGCCCATAGACATACGCAATTGCATATACGTTGCCTACCTTTAATCGACGGAGGAGAGGATGCACAGAAAGAAAATATTTTCCCTTCCCATGCATCCTCTCATCCGGAAAGTCCACTTCCACTTCCCATCTTTTCCTTATAAGAAACAGGGTGGGAAGGGAAAGAGGACTAAATTAGGCCTCCGGGACGAGTAGGTGCTAAATGTTATATGAAATACTCTAGCAAACTGTACTCCTTTTCCGTTAGTGTAATTAAACTAAAATTTCGATTCCTTCGTTTTAACAATTAATACATAAGTAGTCTGTATAAAATTTGAAATTTTTCAGTTGTTTAATTTGCACAAATTAAGGTACCTATTTGATTTTTTTTTACACAATTTAAGATATAAAAAAAGAACAGTTTTGTGCAAATAGAAATTTTTGCTAAGGTGAAATACCTACCGTTTGTAAGATAAGTGTAATAAAAGTTGTGCTAATGTGAAAACTTAGTAATGTTATCGGGCTACGTGATCTCGCTGGCTTTTCGGTTCGCCGGGGAGACTACTAATGTTTTTCGATCCAAACTTCGCGATGTAACAAAAACTATAATTGTCTGTAGATGGAAGTGATACGAGACACCTACCGTTGCTTATCACTTTAAATGCCCTTACTATTGTATTGTCTTCTCTAATAAATCTCTTGATACGTGGAATCTTGTTAGAAAAAATGTAATGCGAACTTCTTGTCGATTCGATTATCTTTTGTTTTTTAGCTGTATACGTGCAATAATCGAGATGTAATCGAAATGAAACCTGAGTTTTTATAGAGCATTTTTTTAATGTCACATGTATAAAAATGCCTATGAAAAAAAACAACGGACAGGACGAATTAGGAACGGTATGATTTATAGCTAATTGGTACCGGTACTTATTACAGTTACGTAACTATGTTAAACATGACCATAACTATCTGACACTTTCAATAATGTCGAAAATAATATGTATAGAAATACGAGTTTAGAATTATTCGTTCGAGTTCCAATAGTAGTGTCTTTTCAAGCATTGAACGTAGCTGGCGGATTCTTTCAGCTGTAATTTCGTCGAGTTATAATCGACTTTAGGGATATTTTCGTC